TCGGGTCAATTCGATTTCAGGGACATGTGGTCACTAAAGCAATGGTAGGACGCCTTAGCGGTAACCCTAATGTCTTAGATCGTTTTTTATCGAGGCAACCGTTTCGAGGCAACTTTGATCTTTAGACAGGAGGGCGACCTCTAAAACACCTTATACTCAATGACCACGTCGAGGCAACCAAGTGAGGCGTACCCTAGGAGTGGCATGTGCGAGTGTGTCAGGTTTCAGTTATGTTATCTTTGCACATGTTATGGTGAGCTACGATTGATTTTAATTTAAGAGAGATCTTGACATGCATAGCCTAGTTAGCATACATCTAGCAGTTAATAGTTGCGGAAAAGAAAACTAAGCTATTACAAGGTGTCGGGTATTTACATCGCCAAAAACAAACCCTTGAAAAGTAAATTGCGGAGAAGAAATAAAAGCGTTAAAAAGGTCCTAATTAAAGCTATTACATCCTCGGAGCAAATACAATTATATGATAAAAAATTGTGAATAAAAAATAATCATACGCGCGAGAAAAAAAATTGAATCGGAGAGTTTTCTAGGGTTTTGACCCTTTTTTGAGAAAGAAAGAGATTTTATTATTTTTTGGCATTTAATTAAACCTAAACTAATTAATGAATAAAAGGAAATATTTTTTGTTTTTTTTGAAGGTTTAAGGAAATAAAAATAAAATGATTAAAATTTATTAAAAACCCTAATTCTACATTAATTTTAAATTATTGCAAAAGAGTTAAAATTAACCTAATTAAAACTAAATTAATTAATTACTTATTTATTTACAAAATAACTAATTAAATTTAATAAATAAAAATGTTATATTTTTTATGTTTTCTGATTTTTATTATGAAAATAAATATTAATTTGTTAGTGAAAATAATAATTATAAAAAATAATTAAATGAAAGAAATAAAAAAGAAAAGAAAAGAAATAAACTTGAAGGGGGGTGTTGGGCCCAATTTTGTGGTAGAGTCAGCAATTTCCAGGCCCATTATTCATTGGCATGTTTGACTTTTCTGGACTTGCTACACATGCGCTGACCAGGGAGTATGGTGGTCCTTCAACTTTGGCCACTAGATCTGAGTTTGAAGACATCTGGCGCTTGGGAATTGGAGGTGTATGGTGGACCACCTTGTGAAATCTGCATGTGAACATAGGAAGAAAAATAGAATAAATGTTTTGGGGGACCTGGGATTCGAACCCAGGTCCCAAGGCTCATTGGCCAGCATCCCTGCCACTACACCACATGCATCTTTTTGTTATTGGAATAATAAGTGATTATTATATATGCAAACAAAACAATATGCTGTAAATAAAAAGTAAAACGCGCGCTTTTCAAATGGACCAACCAGATGATAACACATCATCGTCTTCAACTTTTTTCTTGTATAATTAGAATCAGATAGCGGGGGTTTTTAACCCCCACTACTTCCTGCAAGGAAAAATAGCGATTAGGCACACATCAATCATAAATGTTTCGCGAGGTGTGGGTTGGAATCGTCTTGGCCTCACGATTTCAACCATGTATCCTATTAGTCCCATTTTTCCTGGATTGAAAAGCCCCATTTAAAAGCTCAAGAACCCTAGAAATTCAGTCATGGTATCTTTCGATTCAGGGCGTTACAGTTCAATTCAATCATGCCATTAGCTTTGTATGATCTCTAGCAATGCAAAACAATCACAAACACATGTTAAATGCGCATGAATTAGGAGATATAATTCTGAATAAGAAGTGCAAACCGTGGGACTGTATGCAGCGATTCCTTGAGCTTTGATGCCTGATTTTGATTGCAAATCAATCCTGGGACCTCCTGCAATGTACTTGGATGAACAAAACGCCTTGAATTGGCCTAGAATGCAAGAACATGTTTTGAGTTTTCTTGGAATTTCTTGAAATTGACAGGGTTGTTTCTGCAGCTTTCAATCGTGTCCTAGGTCATGGTTTACTTGCATACATATAGGAGAAACAAATTAGGTCAAAGTTTTTGGATCCAATCCATGTGCATTGAAGATTAAATCCTTGATTGAAAATCAAATATTCTTGATTTTCCATGATTGAACAATGTTGCCAAAATTGAATTTTTTTTTTTGTATCTTTGACTTGTGCACGAATTTGCCAGCATGTTTTGATCATATTTGCTTCACAAATTGATTTAAAAATCAAATCTTCTATTTTCTTATAATTTAAATTAATTAAATGAATTAATTTATATTAAAAATCCAATTAATCAATAAAAATAAGAAAATAAATCCAATTTATCTTGGTGGGTCGTGCATAAGTCATGGGTGAAGTTTCAAGAAGAGATTTGAGGCCCATTAGCAAAAAGAATGTGTTTTGAGCAAAGTTGACTTTTGCAAATTCATGAAAATTTCTCAACTTCTCCAATGCACAACTTGCTCAATTTTGATCATATGACCATTTTCTTGGACATTTTGGAAATCTCTTGAAGTCCTCTAACCAATTCCTTTGGTCCCATGTCATTTGGATTTACCAATCTCAAGTTATGGCCTTTGACTCAAAGTGTACTTTTGTTGACTTTTGAAATTGACCTATAATGTAAAAATTGGTAACTTCTTGTGAGAGCATTTCTTGATCTTGGAGTGTGAAGATAGATTGTAGGAAATTGCATCCTCTTCAAAATGAGCTTTGGATGGGGTTTTTCTGATAAACCATGAAAAAGTTATGTCCTTGTCAAAGTACAGTTGACTTTTCTGCTGTCCAAAAATAGTAACTTTTGCATCTTGATGATTTTTAAGCTATTCTTGTGGAATCATGATCAATACTTGATCAAATGATGATTGTGACCTCAAAATAAGATGTTGACCAAAAATTCTGACTTTTGACTGCAAAATGACCATTTTGCCCTTGCAGTTGACTGTGGATCAAATGGAGCTTTTGACTGTGCAAATTGGCACTGTGAGTCTTGAAACTTGGCATGTAGGTGCTAGAGAATGTGTATAGGCCTATGAGACTTGATTGAACCATTGAGAGCCCCAAATTCCTTGAAAGAACCAAAACCCTAATTTCAGCTGTCCTAGGAAGTGATTTGACTGCACAACCCTTGACCAATTTTGAGCAATTTGAGGATCATTCTTGACAAATCTTGAGGAATATGGGAGGGAAAATTTTGGGGTACAACACATATGTTGTGTTCAAGTTGGAGAACTCAGAAGTGTTGAACTAACATGTCTCATCATCAGTGAGACATGTCGAATGAAGATGTCCTATGAAGAGCCATTCGAAATTGTGCATGTGACTAGCTGGACAGTTGGATTTAATTGATATGTTTCATGAGTAGAATATTCTGGAATATTATGCTATCCTATATGGTGCTCAGTTTGAAGATTAAAGAAGATTCAAGCTGATTTCAATGAGAATTATGACTTTCCTAATTATGGAGATAAATTAGGAAGGTTATGATTGAAGCCCTACTTTAATGGAGAAGTTTCTACTAATTTTTTTTGTAACAGATCAGCTACTATTCTAAAGCTCAAATCCAACATCTTAAAGATTATAAAAGGAAGACTTAGTCCTAGGGAAAATTAAAGGTAGCCATAGTTTTGGGTAGATTCAGAAGCCTTCAGGTAATAATAGTGTACTATTCTGACTGAACCGATTGTAATTGATAGAAATATTATTGAGGTGGTTTAGGAAGTGAGATGTCGATCATTGAGGGTAAACTCTAACTTAAGGGTAGTGTCTCCAACAGAGTCGCCTGTTGTCATAATCGGAAAAAAATAACGAGAGTCGTCACCACTACTTTTTGTCCTAAGGACGGGAAAAATGAACAACCCTAATTATTTAGAGATTCTAAGTTTGTGAGTTAGTTAGACGAATGGAAAGTGTTAGGCACCCTTCATCTCCCTTGTTCTCAAGGGGCTACACTTTTAGGTTTCGGGGTAAATCGGGATTTTTCCTATTTATAAGCATGTTATTATCAATTGCATAAGAAAATGTTTAATTATTTAGTTAAGGGACTCGCCTTGGTTTTAACCGCGTGCCTACGTATCTCTGGGCAAAGAAATCAGAGTCCATTTCATAGTTCATTGTGTTTGGTTGGTATTTTTTTAAAAGATTGCGTAGAATTGCTTTCGAATTATCCTTGAACCTTGTCTGAGTTTGAAAATTGAATAATCGTATATGCAGTTTGCAGTTTTGATTTGAATGTAATGCTATTTAATCTTTTTTTTGAAAATAATCTTGAATTTTATTAAGTTAGTAAAAAAAAAATTTAAGTTAGTTGTTTTAACTTTGATTTGATTAAGTTGATTAATAAAGAGTTGATCTTTATTGAAATTAAACCGCGTTGACCGAAGAATTGTTTTTATAAGGAGTTGATCTATATTAGAATTAAATCACGTTGAGTGGAGAAAGTGATTTGATTTGTTTATCGCGTCGAGCGAGTTAATATTGATTATTACATTAAGCAAAACCAAGATTTAAGTGAATTTTAATTGTTTTGATGTAAATATTTAATTGGTGAGACGTTAAACCGATCCATTAATTATTTGAGAATGTCAAATCTTTTTATTTACAAAAATATCAAACTTAATTTGATAATAAAAAGAAAAGGTTTGAAATTATGCACACGTTGATGATTATGTAATAATTATTATGTTTTTTCTTTATTTTTAATTATAATAATCTAACTTACTTTGAAAAAACTAAGAACCAAATTTATTAAGAAACTAAATTCAGGAGTGTAAGATAGACAATAACGGTGCACTAGCAACATGAGAAAGAATAAGGGCCCAAGGCCCAACCCAATTAAACTTAAAACCTAATTAATTTCTAATAATAAAATGAAAATTAACAAATCCAAAAGGAAATAAATAAATAAAAGTGACGGATTCCCTATGCATCATTTACTGTACTTTCCCTGTCTAATATAAATAAGAACCAAAAGGATCTTGACCTTTCAACACATGGTAATTATTAAATAATAAAAAAAATGATAGACAATGAAACTTTCTAATATCCACATAATTATCGGAACATGTTTTTTTTCGGAGACTTCTCATCTCTCTTCTTCACACAATGCTCATCCTCTTTCAAAGAAAAACAAAATACAATATTTATCTTTCCTCAAAACAGAATCAAACATACAAATATCCATGCTTTCAAGATCAAAACAAAAGGAATGGAAGAGGAACTTACCAAGGCCGAGGGAGGCATGTCAAAGGCGTGGCTGGTCGGAGGATGGTGGAACGTCGCTGGGGTGTGTGACATGGAGGATGGCTTCTTGACGGAACCGTGGTCGTGGGGAGATTTGTGTGGTGGTAGAAAACACGGGTATCAACTCTATTTATGTTAGAGGACTAATCTAATAGAGTTAGGTCTGGTAACAAACTAGTTAAAGTTTCGAGAATAACATAGGGAGTTGTATGTAGACTTGTATATTTATCACAACCTAAAGGATAAATAATGCGGGTTTGATGTTTGAAATTAAAATTTGTAATGTTAAAATTGGATAACTAGGTCATAGGTATGATTCGCGGATATACCGCCTAGTGTAACTTTGGTTCACATTACCTTTAAACGTTGTGTCTGTTCTCAACTGAGGTATTTGTTGTAATGGTGTAAAAATGCTAAATTTTGAATTTACGATATGCGCAGATTACTTAGCATGCAAATAGGCCTTAAGATGTCTCGCAGTATTCTCGGGCCTTTCTAATTTGAAATGCAATGTATGATTGATTTGTTTATGCATGATGCCCCATGAAAATGTTATTGATATGTATTTCGTACGTATATGCATAAAGTATTATGAATGTTTTAATAATTCGCCCTTTTATTTGATTTTCGTATGTCAGATGCACTAAATGTTATGAATGGTCTTGATACTTTGACATGTTATGCTTGATGCATGTGTTAATGCATTGTATATCTTCGTAATGTATGTTTGATGATAATGCTTTTGATACAATTTTGTATATTAGATGTAATTATGATAATGTTATGAATTAAATGCGTAAGGCTTCTTACGCTTTGAATTGATGATACGCATCGATAGAATTACCTGAAGATGACAAATAAATGATTGAAAAGGTGAAACAAACAGTAAGGTTGCTAACATCGGTAACATTACTAGGAGACGTCAATCAGGTGATTGGGTAATAAACAATCAGTAAGGTTACTGGTATCGGTAAGGTTACCGGGAAACATCAATCAAGTGATTGGAAAAAAAAACAATCAGTAAGGCTACTGACATTGGTAAGGTTACCAGGAAATGTCAATAAGGTGATTGGAAAATAAATAATCAGTAAGGTCAATGGCATCGGTAATTACCGAAAAACATCAATCAAGTGATTGGAAAATGAACAATCAGTAAGGTTAATTGCATCGGTAAGGTTATCGGGAAACATCGATTAGGTGATCGGAAAATGAACAATCAATAAGGTTACTGGCATCGGTGAGGTTACCCGAAAACATCAATCAGGTGATTGCTATGCGTTGATCATTTTGACGTGTATTTTGATTAATGCATGAAATGTAATTATTGATCAATGCATGTAATAAGTGACTTCGATATGTACCAATGAATGTTGGATTTTGAAATGCTAATGAATGATTGGGATTTTGATATGTAGGTGTTGGGTTCCAAGTAAGGTTGGGCTTTTATGAATGTTAGATTCATGACATGGAAATATGAATGAGGTGATATGCATGACTTGATACTAGAGCGAAGCGACATGATTAATGCATGATGATGACTTATGATGACTTGGATGATTTTGTATGGTGCCCTTATGATGGGTCGTAGATGGTTAAGGCGTAGAGAAGTTGCTTATGCAACAAGGATATTTGTCACACGATGGTAGGGTGTTACGCTAGCCTGATTTCCTGATACCCGTTTTGAACTCAAAGATTACTGATGTAGGAGAAAGCTTCACTGGGGATTGTGAAAGTATGAAGAGAGCTTGCCCCTTTATGGCTTGTCTTGCCCATGTCTGTTAGCAGGGTCATTGAAAAGATTCACCTTAATGGAAGTAGTTTGGTCATACTGTGCACTAGCGGATATCCTTTTGAAACTCGTGAGCACAAGGAAAAAGGATGGAAACAAGTCCGTTATCCAGGAGACCCTCTCTCGCTCAAGCATCGAAAAACCCTCCACGGTGCTCGTTGTAAACACTGTTAGGGATAATGACTGTTGGATGACCTCAGTGTACCATTACCTCGCCACAGGGTAACTGCCTTCCGATCAGAAAGAAGCCAACATAACTAAGCGAAGAGCCTGCTCCTACGTCTTAATATAATACAAACTTTACAAAGGAGGATTCTACATCCCACTCTTGAAGTGTTTTGAGGAGGCCAGAGTCACCCACATCTTACGGGAAATCCACGAGGAAATCAACATCTAACACCTGAGAGAAAGATCCCTAGCACGGAAGGACCTTCGATCAGGATACTACTGGCCCACCAAACAACACGACGTGAAATAACATGTCATAAAATGTGATAAGGCTAATGCCATGCATATATGATCTTGGCACCACCCAACGAACTTAAGACTTTATTGTCCCCGTGGCCCTTCTCCTGGCAGAGAATGGAAATCCTAGGTCCATTCACCGTGGGATCATACCAGAACAAGCATTTGATTGTCTGATTCGACTACTTCATGAAGTGGGTAGAGGTCGAAGCTCTCTCCAGAATCTCGACATAAAACATATTGCATTTCTACAAGAGAAACGTGTTTTCCCATTTCGGCGTACCTAAAGTACTCGTCACAAAAAATGGAATGCATTTTACTAACAGAAACTTCCAAGACTTAGACGCCAAACTAGGCACCAAGCAACACTTCACATCTGTCAAGCACCCTTAAACGAACGGCCAGGTCGAGGCCGCGAACATAGTGATTCTGCAAGGACTAAAACAACAATTGGGTGAGTCCAAAAAGAGGTGAGTCGAAGAGCTACACAATGTACTCTGAGCCTACAGAATGACACCACACTCGACCACGGGGGAATCTCCCTTCCGACTAGCCTACGGAACCAAGGCCGTAATCTTAGTGGAAATCAGATAGCCATTTAGGAGAACTGAATCTCCCCTCGACAAGGAGATGAACAGCGAGGCCTTAAGAGAGGAGCTTGACCTTGTCAAAGAAATTCGATCAGGGGAAGCTCTCCGCGAGGCAATAAAGATAACTTTGTGTCACGACACCAAAGTCATAAAATGTGAGTTCTAAGTCGGCTATCTAGTCGTGCAGAGAAATTAGAAAAAATCACGCGAGGGTAAACTTGTCGCAAACATGGAAGAACCTTACTTTGTCTGAGCAAAAATGGATAACGGGGCCTATTACCCTTAAAAATTGAACAGGGAACAACTTACTCGACCATGGAACACAAAATCTAAAAGAATATTACAGTTAGTCCCGACAATACTATGTTTAGGCCTAACAGTCGGCATGCCCTGTTCAACAGGAAATAGGGCACGCCCTATCACAGAAGCGTGTTACAATACGGACACGGCATTCCAAACCTAAAACTAAAAGGTGATCTCCCTCTCATTGGACGAGCATAACCTTAGTATGATGGGGATACCTCGACCAAGCTCTATCGTCACATTACCAATGAGGCAGAACGTCCAACTCGTGATGGGAAAGTTCACACTGCAGGATCAGGATCCCAACCATAATCTTAGTCCCGTTATCAAGTAGAACCCATCTTCGTTTCCTCGACATGTTCCCTAAACAGTTGAGCGCTAATTTTGTTGAGAAAGAACCCACACGCCTAAACAAATCATATGCTACGAACATAAATAACGACGAGGAATTTAAGTACTTAACAATCAAACAACTTGGAAGCATACAACCAACGGTATTAAAAATTCTGACCACGAAGTCCGACATTGTTAAAATATTACAAAAAATAGGCAGAGCCCAATATCCAATATTGCAAAAATAAATATTAGCACGCAGGCCAAACAGACATATGGCACGCAGGCCAGTTGAATACAAAGAATCAAATGTCTTCCTCCGGATCATGCGAGGACCCCCCTCCAACACCGAAACCCTTTGAAACAATTATCTGACCATCAACTACCTGGTGGAAAGGCCTAATTATGTCGGTGACAAGTCAAACCCCGGGGTTGACGAGCTGGAGTTGCTCCATCACACTGTTGAAACCCATCCCGAGGGTATCCAGGAAATCATGTTTGAGCACCTGGAGACGGGAAATAAACTTAACCCGGGTCATCAAGATTTTATTCTCACGAGTCTCCTCATCAGCATGCGCCCCAACAACTTCCAACTTGGTCACTTTGGCCTAGAGGCTTTCGTTATGCAAGGTCACTCTGGACAGTCCCTCTTTTAGATTAGTTATTTCCTCGTAGAGCCCAGTATGGATTTGGTACTTCTCTTTATGGTGGAAAATATCAATCTTCATCCTGGTCACCTCTGCTTCTAGAGTTACATTCTGAACCTGCACCTTCCTTAGCTCTTTCAATGAATAGGTCTTCGTGTCATTGAGGGCCATAGCGGTCTACAGAACCCTCGTCACAACAGTCACATCCTTGGTTATCGCTTTTCTCCTGGAAACCTTGTCAACAGCCAGGATGGCCTTCGACTCTACCTCATGGACGGCCGTAGAGTTACCCCAACTGAAGAGCCCCCAATGAAGATAACAGGGGGAAACATAAACGTCTCCCCAACTGATTAACTAGTGAGATAGACCTGCTCGGTGTCCTCCCCGCACTGCCGTTTGGAAGGATTCTCTTGAGAGGATTGACTCCCCTGAGGTGAGGAAGTTGAACCGACCGGGGTGTTGTCATCCCTCGCTTGCTCTTGGATTTGGGTGACATGACTTTTTGATATATTCTTAGCACCTTTGTTAGCCACTATCTTGAACATGCGCTCATGGAGGCTCGATATGTGACCTACAACAAATAAAGAAACATGGTTGGTGTAACGAGGAAACACACTCGCACTAGTGTAAAGGGTGGATTTCTGGCCATACACAACATTTGTTTCCTTCTTACCGTTGAACGTCTTCTTCACAATACTTGAAGACACGGCCACTTGAATCTTTCCACTTCGGGTACCACTTTCGACACGTTCTTCTATTAGTATCAACTCGGTAAAACCTGATGAAGAGATTTTGATCAGATGATTAAAGAAAGGTCTTGTTAAAGTTCCCATGAACATGTCAACCAGCTCCCTATCAGACAGAGGAGGTTGAACCCATCTAGATAAATCTCTCCACTTCTGGGCATACTCTTTGAAGCCTTCGTTCGAGCCCATAGTCATACTTTGTAATTGCACACAGGTTGGCGGAAGGTCAGCATTGTATTGATATTACTTGTAAAAAGCAGAAGCCA